CTCTCCCCCTGTTGCATTAGTACTGAACCAGCATCCCAAAATGTGATGAGTCACGTTTCAAGGCATTCTACCTATAACTTACTGCGGTTAAGTGTATCCTTATGCCATACTGTCATTTACTGAACTGCTCCAACCACTTTGTATGTATGTCTATCTGTGTTATTGGTGTTCATTTACTATGCATGCACAAACAATAAAAATTGCGGAGCGTCTTTTCTTAAGACAGTTGTTAAGGCAAAGATACAGCTTTGAGACAATTTATTATTATTTAACAACTCTTATTAAAACAAGCAGTTTTACACTTGACAGAATTTGGTCTTGGTTAACCTCAAGAATTATACATCTCATCTTTTCACACATGTTGCTTTCACTTGTTAAAATGAGCAAAAGTTATGTACATAAATCAGAGTGAGAACACAGCTGACAAAGACAGGACGTAGAGCCCGGTAAAGAAATATGATTTTCATCTCAGTAATGATTTCTATGTGCTCTGAGATACATCTGGAAGCTGTAGCTAGGATGTGAAGATTCTGCCCATGCTTGTGAAAGGTGTGCTTCTCTGAATGTTGTGCCAAATCTTTGCATTTTGTTATTGGTCTATATGGACCAGCACACTTGAAACAGACTTTTTCATTGAGTAGCATCCCCAGAACATCACCAACACTATTTGTGTAGATTTGTGTCCAGAAAACACAGAGGTTGGGCTCCTCTCACTGCCCCTCAGCTCCAGGTGCATGTGGCCCTGCGTCACAGCTGGCACCACATGGCCTCCTTGGACTCTGTGGGACCTTCTTGTGTAAATAATTGCAGATAGCTGATAAACGGGTATTTTGTATTTTGCTGGTGGCAGGGGTTTGTTAACATTTCCTTTGATCATTTGGTAAGGAAACCACTGTTATTTACCAAGGAGGTACTCACCATAACACGTCCATTTACTAAGTCGGATCATAAACCTGCAGGCTGCAATGCCTCTAAACCGTGGATGTGCTTAATGCTCACTGTGTCTGGAAGAAGTGACACCGCAGAGGGATGTGCCATCTGCAAATAATTTTCTGAAAAACTCCAAAGAGTGAGGGACTCTCATTTGAAAATGCTTTTATTTGAGAAATCAATGTG